CCCTGGTACGAACATGAAGACGCCCGGTACTGGTATCGCACTGTCGTCCCCCTGGTTTAGCATCATGGTGGCTTCTTCCTCGGTCGGCGGACCATTCTTCCACTTATGCTGTGATAAGAAGATTCGCATCATTGACCGCCGCTGGACCTGCAACGACAAAGCTGCCTCCATGTTGAGGTTCCACCGGTTCCTGTTCAGCGGCGTCACCACGGTGATTCCTGTTTCCCACGGAATTCGTTGATCTTCTCGGTAGCACCTTGCGTTGAGGAGATCCAGATCCGTTTTGTCCTGCACACCCATTCGAATCCGTTTCAGCAAGCGCTGCAACTCCGGGTCCCCGGCGGCACGAACTTGTTCGTCCAGCATGACGACCGTCGTGAATTTCCTCCATAGTGCATGTGCCTTGTCGTGTTGGTGTCGTTGCTCGACCTTGAACGAGTTGTCTTCGTCCCACGAGACGGCCACGCTCGGTAAAAGGATTGACCTATCATGTACTGGCCGGAACTGTTGGAAGTCTCCGCAGAAGAGCACGATGGGGATCCCGCCGAACTCTTGATGTGAGCCGCGGAGTCGGCAGAGTTGCTCGTTCACCGCGTGTAGCATCTGGGCTCCCAACATGCTCACCTCGTCGATGACAAGGAGGTCTTTCTCTTGCCAGTTCATTCGAGTTTGGCCATGAATAAACCGCTCCGTTACTTTCGCCAGTCGCACACCGTCGAGATCCTTGCCCATGCTTGTGCCTGTTGCTTGGTCCTTGGAGAACCCGCAGGCGGAGTGGATTGTGATGCCGTTAATTCGCGATGCCGCCGTCCCCGAAGTCGCCGTTATCAAGAGGCGGTTCGATATTTTTTTGCATGCAAAGAGCTCAACAAGCGTTTCAATGACGCGTGACTTCCCCGTGCCGCCTTCTCCGCCGACAAATTGGCAGAGCTGACTGACTTCGCTTTTGGCGCTGCATTGTATCAAATCGAGCTGGCGGCATATGATCAGGAGGGCGATTGTCTGTCTCTTATTCAATTTGAACCGTGCTGCTAGAGTTTTACCTGTCTCGAGGAAGGATGTTGATATGCCAAAGTCGACTTCGACACCTGGACCTGCCTCGCCTACCCTTTCCAGGTCCGCTCCCGTCATCTCAATATCCTCCTCGCCGAAACCACTGAGCACATTTCTCATCACGATACCTTGCTCAGTTTCGTGGGCCACAGCCATATTTTGTATACCCTGGATCATCCGCTCCCTCTCTCTGGAGGCACATATCTGCTGCGACTTGATGGCTTTGACCTGATCCTGCGGTGGTATACTGGCCCCGGACAAGGTTCCTCCGTGTATGCCTATCCGTCTTTCTCCTCGTTCGGGTATTATGGTGGCGTAGAGCTCACCAGCCGGGCTCAGCCCTGATAGCTGAAATTGGCAGAGCTGCTTCAGTGTTGCCATGAGCTCCGGCGAGCCGGCAGTGATCTGGTTGGAGCCCAGTGCACTTCTCATGACGTCAATTAGACGCGTCGTGTTACCGATGCTGTCAGACTCGCGAACCGAGGCGGCCTCTTCGTCGCCCTCCCCTTCTCCCTCCTCATCGGCATGTGTAACCGTGAAGTCAGCGTCGCCAGCTGAGGCCGCCCATTGCCTGGCGTCGCGTTTTGCGTCTTCGGCCGACCGACGAAGTAGCTGAACGTTATCGACGAGGCATGATACTCTCGGAGACAGCGCCTTCAGTGCCCGCGCCCAAATGAGGTTGATGTCGTCCGTTGCTTCGCACAAGAAAGACTCCCATGGCACAAACAGCGCAAGGTGCTGTACAGCTGCCCTTCAACGGGAAAGTTAGTTTCTGCAATACGGTACCTCTCAGCGTAATATTCGGTAGACATACCTCCGATGGCACGAGCCTTCATCATCCTGATCGAAATCCTTACTCAGGTAGCCATCCAGGCAGACACTGGCGTACTTTCCCGGCCGTCTCAGCACCTGCAACCAACGTCTTCCAGGTCCCCATCCTTTTTCAAAGGGTACCTCTCCCCAGGAGGCAGCGGTCTCATCCTTGTCCGTGCGCCTGAGCTTGACAAGCGATGTGTAGTCGTAGAGACACAGACTCCCTAGGACCCCCCCTCGGTGCTCATATGCCTCGACATAGCTGATTCTCTCGCCGGCTTCTTCCACGACGATTGAGTCGTCCACGGGATCGTCCCCAACCGCTGTGCCGCTCTCTTGGCGAAGGTGTCGCCACCTACGGAAGACGTGCCAGTACAGCAGAGAAACATTCAGGAACGCCCATGCGCTGCTATTAGTGAACTCGGTCGGGTATCCGAGAAGGTAGGCGATGACTTCCACTTGCGACAAAGACCGTTCCGTGAATATGCGGTTCGCCACCCTCATCAAGAATTGCCGTGTCCTGTTCCCGGCAGCGCCATCAGTGGCACCGTTATCTCCAATATCCTCCCCGCCCTTAGCCGCCGGTCCACGGCTCGCTGAGACGACAGGCAGCAGTTCTGCGGCAGCAGCGACGCGCTTCCATACCGGGTCCTCTGCCTTGGTCGTGTAATTCGTGACGTAGAACACGAGTGCCATGGTCTTCCGCTGCGTCGCTATGAAGGAGATATCGTGGTTGTGGCGAAGCCCCACAGCCATAGCCTTGTTCCACCGATTCACCATGCTATGCCTCCTTCGAATTTGCAGCACGCCGTCTGCCGTGAAGGCAGTCTTTTCGACAAGTCTCCATGGAGCCTGAAACCTACAAAGACTACGCTGCCTTCCTCTTTTACCCTTGTTCAAAGAGTCGCCTGAAACCTACAGAGACTACGCTGCTTTGCTCTTTTACCCTTGTTCAAAGAGTACTTGACGCAAGTCGGGCTGTGGGTGTGGATCTGTGTTGCACCAGCACAGAAATTCGCCTCCTCGTCAAATGCGGCCGAAAATTGCTCCCTGTTGCTGAGCAGGGAGGAAATGTCTGATGTAACCGACCGTTCCGCTTGGAGGGCGCAATATCCTTCCTGGTCTAGGTCCTATCTCATATGTCAACTTGACCCGGCTCGTCTCCTGCGTCTCCAATGGCATGCCTAGGTCCATACTATACCTCACAGAAGACACTATCGATGTATCTGATGATCCTTTCACGATATGTGGCTTTATCTTCGCCGTCGACATCGGTAATCATCGTACTCAAGTTTGCGTTTCCGTGCAGCCAAAGCAACCCGTGGACATGCAGCGCCCCTCGTTCGTTGGTCTCCACAGCACCGTAGTAGTGGATGATGCGCCCGAATACCGACTCCGCTCCCACTTTGACATAATGCTCAAAGAACAACGTCATCTCTCGATGGAAGAAGATGGCCGAGCTCATCGGGTCGGAGATGGCCAGCCGCAGTCGTCTGTATGATTTGTCAAGGCTCTTCAAGAAAGCTTCAGCTGTGTCAGGCTCACGAGTGCGATATGCCGCAAGCCGCAGCTTTACCGGGTTTGTGATGTCATTTGGGTTGAGCGTAAACCAGATCGCAGGAATGCCGTGACGAAGCACAAGCGACTGTATTTTCCGCCGCATACTCAGACGGTTTTCTCTGGACATTGGCTGCCGGAAGCCGTACAAGGAAAGGCTTCTCAAAAGCTCCTTCACGCCCTCGTCAGTCGTTCTGCCAGAGTTCTCCAACTCGGTCCTAGC